TTGTTGTCTGCTCTTCTCCATAGTAAATGAAGATAAGCCCTAGTCATATAACCATTCTAATCAAGGATAAACTTCCCTGGTTTCATTTCTATTTACCATGAGATATGAATGGACAGACACAGCAATTATAGAGTATTCTGCTGAATTAGAGCAACTCCTCCATGCCTTCCCTTAAAATAGTATTTGTTTGTTTGTCTGCACCCCTACATTACAGATATGTTGAAGTGCTTTGCTGAAGCAGGGTCTGAATGCCCATATTATACACTTTGACTAATCTGTTAAAACTAATTTTCCTTTGTCTGAAATGCTCTCTCTCATTCACTGAAGTACCAAATACTATACCGTTTTGGGACAGTACCCCAAATCGCATCACCCTGTGACATCTCAAGATACATGAATTGCTTATGTTGTTGAGAAGACCAGTTACATTGTTCTCTGGGAAATAACCAAAAATATACATAGAAATGGGGACAGAACTGGAAAAGAATTGATTTCAATCTGTACGTAATCCCAATGTGTTGAAGTGTTGGAGTATCTTGTATATATTTTCAGTCTTACAGTTTTACATTTTTTTGAGTTGCAATTAAGCTTAAAAGCCATTTAATAATACTATAGCTGCCCTATTAATTTCTACAGACCCAATTCTCAGGTCTACCTAAACTCTGCTAAACACAGGATCTGGGAGTAAGGAGGCATACTGCCCTCATGGCTCCCAATTCTGATTTTGTTTTCAGTGTCTTTAATTATACCCAGCTACAATGGCAACCACATGGTCTTTTCTGGCAGACACAGATTGCAAGGGCACTACAGTACTCCTGTCATCCCTCGGAGGCTATAAGGAGTGGCAGAGAAGGGTCAGTTACACCAGTCTTACACCACTAGAAGACCCTTTACCAGGGAAATCCTCATATGTCCAATTAAGACTTCTATCGCCCAATTACTCTACCAGTTTTACTTAAGGGCTGTACTGGGGCCAAAGATGTTGCTCAGTATAATAGGACAAACACAGAAGAGCATAGGTAACATGAAAATTCTCATATCACCTGACCTTCTTGCAACAGTGTTATTAAAGTTATTAGGATTTTCCTAGAGAATGTTCCATTTTTCAACCTTGCAAAACTAACCAAACATTTAAATTGGCAAATTACCATTGTTTGCTGATCCCTTCAGAACTATTTTTCTGACAGCTCTTTAAGTGACTAAAACTAAATTGGTTGTGTTAGAGAAAGTGCTTATGCGCTACCCACCCCTGAAACTTACATCCCCGTAAGGAATGAAATAACAGTAAAATTCACAAAAGCACCCATTGTGTACTTACTTTTAGCTCCAGTTATGGTAGTATAATATTACAGCCTTATTCAAAACAGTAGTCTAGCAACATGCAGACTATGCATGTATACGGTAGTTATAAACACTGTAAAGGCTTCATTTAAAATTTCTTATAGTAGTAAGGCACAAGCAAGTTAATGCTCATATACTTTGCAGACTAGTGTATATAATAATATACATTTCTCTGGACAATGCACTAGACTCTTAAAAGACTGAGAATTGAAATATTTCTGCAAGACAAAGCAACAAAGGAGAGATTATTTAACTAAAATGTTTGAATTTGTGGTTTATACGTGATTCATTCTCTAGCTCACATTTTCTTATGTAAATGGAAAAAGAAAAATCAAAGATATATTGTAATTTGTTGGAAGCCCATTTAAAGCTTAACTTTTTGCAGAAAGGTTGGAAACTTATCATTCAAAACCTCCCATAAAAGATTATCTTAGTCAGGACAGTTCAAATAGTATAAAAGACATGGCTAAGGACAGGCTGAATATCTACTAGATTTTTTTTTAACTGTCTATGTTTAAACAAACATATAGCACATCAGAAATGTAGCTAGGCAGTTTTGACCCCTGGACAGCAGTGGTGTACAATATGAAATGCCATAGCGTTTCCATTGCCATGAATTAAGTAGGTCTTTCTACCTATGCTTTAACACATCCTATCTTTGTATTCTATGACGATAATTTTGCTCTTATTATAACACTTTTATAAACAATTCAATGAGCTTATTTTAAAACTGAAAAGACAGCAAAAGTTCTGACATAAGGCCATATTTTAAAAAGAATCTGGCATTACTTGTTTTCAAGGATAAGCGATCTTTCTAGGTCTACAGTCACAATAAATGCATATGGAGATTCTGGAAATCTTTACACTTGAGTCAATGGGAGTAACAGAATAGTCACTTCACAAACACATCAGTGCCACTGAAAATACAACCCAGCACATGGGAAGTCCAAATATTTTACGCATTGAGAACTCTCTTTGCTCAATCTAAACCAAAAGAAAAAAATAATGACAATCTCTCAAAATAGGAACTATGGTGATAAAAGAGTCATTTTCCCACCAAACCAACCAACCAAATAAGGTTTTTTTATTCTAAGGTCTTCTGCTTTAGATTTTTTCTTGAAATTCCATTTTGCTCTGAAATATTAACGTAAGTGTAACATACCTTCGTAAGCTTTTTGATTCTAAAAACATTGGGGTCTGATTTCACTGCAGACTAAGCTATATAGCTCAACAGTTTAAACCCCAATTCTATAGTTCTGAAGAAGACTGCACAGAGTTTAATAAAAATGGTGGGAAAATGAGTAATATTTTAGTTTTTATCTCACTTAGATTGGATTAGTTGGAAATTTATAGTAGCATAGGTATTGCATCAGCAAATATGTTAGCGTGAATGATAACTATGGTTATCAATAGACTGGCAGATCTAATAAGCTAGCTGGCTGTAGACCTAATTATTGTGGTATTACCTGCAAAGATTCATTGTGGACAATAAGCTTATTACCTATATTTGAGAATAATTATATTTTAGAAAACAAATCACACAATGGAGTTTTGGGTTTTACTTTAGAAAGCAACCTGGTGGGGGAGTTCTGTTTTTCTCATCCGGTGTTGACGTGAGTTTGTGTCTTGATTTGTTGGCTCAGGAAAAAAAAATCAGTGGAATTTTAGGGGGCTGTGGGCTATACAAACTTCAAAGAAACTCTGCAAACACGAATTCAAAAGAAGCCAATTTACAAAAATATAGTCTCCTCAGATCCAAACCTTAAATATCAACTAAACAGTGACCTTCATCCCATTTCATGTGCAACTAATCCATATAAGCTATCTTCATATTCCTCTTTTTTATCACTTCCATACCAAAGGCCTATCCCTATTTACACTAAGACCCTTCTATGCTCTGGCAGGGTAAAAGAATCTGGTCATATAGAAATTTGGTGTAAATAACATGAAAGTCCCATCAAAATAGATTTAATTTACACTCACTTTAAGGCCTGTTTATATTGTTAGTGGGGTGTAAAGTGGTTTTAACTGTAAATGAGAATCAGAACCATGTATGTAGAAAATAATAAGAAAATGCTGCCTCTTGTGGTATTTTTGATATGTAACAAGGAATCACTGATGTTTGCTTGGATCGATGCTGTCATTCCATTTCCAAAAAGAACAGAACTGTTCTTAAACCTGGCCTTCATGTTGTACCAATTCCTTTGATCTATACAATGCTGTGGCTTAATTCTGCTTTGAATTAGCAACCAAGTTTTTTTATTGTCTTTTCTTTCATTGTCATGCGCTTTTGCTCATGTTCCTTTATCCATTTTAACCAATATTGCTGCTGTTGGACCTTGCACATTTATTGCATGGGTATGACTGGATTGTTAATGTGCTTTGGAGGAGGTAGACTAGAGTTTCCCCCTTTGATCTGAATATAATTCAATATATGATTCAGATAAAGTTCCTATGAACAACTTCTGTGGCAGCCTATTAATACACACTTTCCCCCAGAGTTCAGAAGAGTTAAAAAGCAAACGTCAGACTCTAGACTAGAAGATTATAAAATCTCATCATATTTCAGGGTATCAAAAACACTTCTGGATAGTGATTGAAGAAAAAAACCACATTGTTGCATCCTGTACCACAAAATAATTGACTGGAACAGGAGTTCTGCATCCCAAGCCAAAAATGAGGGCACATAACCAACGTCAAGGTCAATTATCTGGTAGCACACAACAACAGGAGACTATTGTGATTAGAGAAATAAGCAGAACATTGTGAATTTGGAAGGGCTGGCAGTGCAGATAGATTTTAGGTTCTTTTTAAACCACCAGAAACATTGTGTGCGGGCACTTAGCCTTACGGATTAATTCAGAAGAAAATGGAAAAGATAAATCAGCTGTGCTGCAATTGTTTCAGTAGGCTTTTTATCCTGCGCCTGGAGAACTTCCATAGGACTGCATCTTCTTCAAAAAGTCAGCAAGAAATGATTAAAGAAATATTATTAACTAACACAAAGAATTAAAAATGTAGTAGGATCATTTAGTGCCATATATTTTGATCTGTAAACCTTCCTAAATGATCCATTTACTGCTAACTGCTTCTCAAGACTCATTTCTTCAAAAAGGATTGTACAACACAAAACAAAAAAAGACATGGAAAATCCCAGACCAGTGATGCTTAGTCTCCAGCCTAAGGAAGATACATGCATAATTCACTCAGGTGTTGGCACAATGTGAGCACTACTAGCCTTGTTCTCTCTTCCCTCCCCCGTCCCCTCCTGCAAATCTTGTGTTTTCTTTACCCTTGTCCTTTCCCAATTGAAGCCTTTACCATGTTTTCCCATTGTTCTTGTCTTAAGCCAGGGATTGATTCTGGAAACCATCACTATTGATAGCAGGACTCACATAGGGCCTGATCCAACACCCACTGAGGCCAATGGAGAAAAAAACCTGTTGTCTATTCAGTTCTAGGATCAAACTTATGGTCAACTGACCTCTAATGTATGTGGTTAGTAGCTCTCTTCTCAGCAGCACACTTTTCAGTATTTTATTAATAAGATTTTGGACCTTGACTTGTAAACTGTCCTAGGAAGAAACTGTCTATTTGTTTCAAAATATCATACCCTGTTACAGTTCTGCCTTGAAAGCAATAGCAACAATAATGCTTACCCTACAGTAAAAAACTGCCTCATCTCCTGTCTTCGAGATCTCATCAGTTGCTTATATTCTCCAATACGCAGTTTCTTGCCATCAACAATGCAGGTACGTTTTGGTCGGGGTTTGTATTTGTAGTTAGGATACTTCTCTAGATGGATTTTACTTAGCCGTGCCTGCTCTTCATAGTAAGGTTGTTTCTCTTGATTAGACATGGACTTCCAGCGAGAGCCTATATTAAAAAAATATCAACAAACGTTCAAGCCAGGCTGGCTGCATTCTATTCACATACATTTCAAAGTATCCTTTCTTGCCACTCTGCTTAACACATTGACCACCATTTACAGCACGTGTCTGTGACAAAGACATTCAAAATTTTGGATGCAATTCTTGACACACATGTTAAAGGAATTTGGCTTCCAGAAATGCCTGAGAACCCACCTTCTGAAAATATAGTTTCCTAAGGGTGCCTCAAGTTGGGCACCCAAAAACTGAGGCACCTGAAATAATGCGTTACTTTTGCAAATCAATAGTACTGTTTATCCTTTGAAATAGTGACCTTTGGACTGTGAATAATTCTATGATCTATGTATTAACATGCCTGTTAATATATTCAAGATGGGTCTACAGCCATTCAAGTTGATCTCAGAAGCTTAGCTTACTGCCAGTGAATGTTTCTCTCATGTTATATAAAAATCTACCCCATAAATTTCTAACAGTGGATGTTCTGCAACTTAGCAAGGAAAACTTATTAAAACCTTGCATAGTCTCAAAATTACAAATAATCCTTTGCTATCTGGGTGTCTTTAATTTAGTTACACTTGGCATATTATTGGCACCCTACCATATTTTAAATCCTATTATACATATTATCTCCAAGCCAGATGTAATAAATGTATTGAACTACATTTAGAAAGTTATATTTAAAAAAATGGAAAGCACATTTGTAATTATATACACCACTTTAGGTATTGTAAACTTTCATTGAAAGCTGCACCAAAAAAACTAGTAAAAATTTAATTCAGTTTATACAGGAAGAGGAAAAAGTATTCAGATCCCTTGTATTGTTTATAAAGAACTATCTAAACACTTGAAGAGAGACAGAAGGTTTTTTTGGGTGGGGGGTAAAGAAATGCAGAAAGTAGCTTTTTGGTGACTTTCAAATGGATAAAACGATTACAGCTGTGGTAAACGTGGGTGGAAGCTATTCTTTTACCAAGATTTTTCATACATCAACAAATGGAAAAGTTGTATAAATATTATCCGTAACTAGCAGTACTCTGTGTCAGTTCTAATATTTCAGCCTCTTTTCTCATTGTCCTGGAAAAGTTGCACAGACATTATGTGGATATAGACTTATTTGTGGCAGAGCAGATCCTGACAGGTTAATTCCATGGTTAACAAACACATGACTGCTGGCACTTCTGAAATATTTATGTTGAAAGTTTACATTTTAATGAATACAGTTACTATACTCCTAATAGTTTTTTCACAGAATGCACACAAATAATATAGATTCCCTACAGCTGCCAACATTGAAACAGTACAGGTTTTATACAAAACTGAAAGGCTATTCATATAACTTACTTAAAATGGTAGACAAATATGAGAACTACTAAGTATGATTCTGGAAGTTTTAGGACAGAGTAACATTCATTTCTAGAATGTATTTTCATCTCTGATAAAAATAACAAATGCATATTTGAGAAACTGCTTTCTTAAGAATACCTTGCAGCTCTGAAGTTTACAAAAAATGTTTACAGATTAAACTTGTTTCTTACTACTACATATTATGAGTTACATTTAAAGTCCATCTGTCACTTCAAAGATGCAGAGAACCTATAGTTCTTAATATTTCACCATTCATTCTCACCTATGTTTCTAATTCTCCAGAGAGGTCTCAGAGACTAAAAATGTCTACAAAATACATCAAATGTATTGCACAGAGGTAAAACATGTATGGTATACCAGATATATTCAAAATTAAATATTGTGATTTTTTAAAATTAAGTGATACTTTAATCTTGTAATGTTTCCTTTCAGCGTTTCTAACATGACTGCATTTGAGTACAACATCACCTTATATTACAGGAGATATATTCTCAATAATATTATTAAGTGCTCTGAAACTTGATAGCTGCTTCTACTGTTTAGCCACTCTACTGTCTGGCATATATTTTGATCTTGTGCGTTTATTAATTTAGGAATATTTCCCAAAATACTGATGTTGCCATAAGAAATACAGTTTTCATTTGCATGGGTTTTGCACTCTTGAGCTCAAGTGATTTCTGCTCTGATCTTGCAATGGGATAGTATTCCAAGAGCCATTGTACCGATACATTGGGGAAAAAAAGGAGGGAGGGTTGTTGAACACTGCTAAGTCTTTAGAACATAAAGACCCACAATCCCTCATTTGCATATATCTAATCTACATTACTATAAGTAAAAACCTCCCAAACATAAGAATATACCCTGACAAGCATAACTGGGATAGTCTTTACAATACTAACCTCTGTCACCATAAATTCACCTTTCATCTCCAAAACCAACTAACTTCTACCAACCACTGCTGCAAATTACATTTGAGATTTCTAAGCCACTGCTGATTTTGACTCAGTTGTAAAACTAATTACAGTATACTTAGTGTCTTGTACTTACCTAGGATTTTGCTAATGTTGGAGTTATGCATGTCAGGAAAAGCTTGGAGAATTTTTCTGCGTTCATCCTTCGCCCAAACCATGAAAGCATTCATTGGTCGTTTGATATGTGGTTCGCTACTGGCTCGGCCCCGTGAATCTCTGTAGACTCGCGCTTCAGCCACAGTGGCACCTCCTGTTGGCCAACAATAATACTGCTGTAGTTTAGCTGCAGAGCCATTCATTGCTTTACTTCCTGTAATATCAGGGCAGGAAGAAACAAGATGGATGCAAAACATTATTATTTGGATTATGAAACAGGTTCCTATGCCTTTTCCTTTTTAGGTTCCTGTTCTCCTTTTCTCTCCTTTCCTGCTTCCAGATCTAGAATGGGGATAAAGGAGATGTAATGATTCCCACGTCACCAGTCAAGGTTCTCTTGCCAAGGCCCATAATACTTGCATGAACCAACAAACTGTTTGTACTGATGAAGGTACAAAGACTAGTGTAGTAGCTGGAGGTTTGCAATTGTAACAACTCTTTATTAATACAAGTACTTACAGATATTTACAGTTTGAGGTAACAGTTTTGTTCTTGCCCTTGAAAGGGTCTTGTGGCTGATTGCCCCTGTTCCCTGACCCGGAAGTTCCAGATGACCTCACCCAGAGTCTTATGGGATGACACACTTCCTGGATACGTTTGTGTATCCAGGAGGACTTACTCTATGTCACAACTAGCATCAATTTCAGTTCTGCATTTTAATAGAAAATGCAAGGTCACAAAAGTTACATAAGACAACCAAAAATTATGGAGAACTGTCCCCACATGTATGGCACAACATCTCTGCTCCTTGTGAAGAGGAACACTTGCCAAACATTTCATAAAATATTCAGCATATCTTTAGTCTGCAGGTACATGCTACATGCCATTTGGGCTTGATTCTCCACCTCAGTTCCTACATGTATTTCAGTGGCAACTGAGGAAGGTTTAGCATCTCACAGGTTTAGACCAGACATCTGTACTACAGCTGTCAGGTCTCAACAAGAACATGTTCTTTAGGTTAGCACAACTAGCACTCCAGGTTCTCCATTCCTACAGTGCCTTACTGATTTCTTATCAGGAGAATGTTTTTGTAGAGGTGGAACAAAATCTTGAAGCAGCTTCTCCAACTCCTACGAACTGTGCTCAGGTCAGATTGGGGGGGGGGAGGGGGAGAGGCTGTGCAGTGCATGTGCAGTGAGCTCTCTGAGCTCACCATATGTCAGCAACCTCCCACCAGAGCCCTTACAGATGCCATGAGCTCTGAGCTCACCAACTGACTGGGAAGAGCTCTGCCTAGAGCCCCTGATTTCACGAGGCTCTGGAATGTAGGGAGTGAGTGCTGCTCCCCTTCTTCTCCCTGCTGCTAAATTCAGTGGCAGGTGGTAGGGCAAAGAAAGGGAAGACAACTGATGATGGCACTCACCCCCTCAAAGAACTCACAGCACGCGTGCCATACTTCCAAAAGGAGTGTGGCTGCACCCACCTTGTTGCAATCCTGGACGTTCCCAAGCATGGGGTCCACCCTGGGGGGGGGCAGGGGGGAATGGAAGGAGAGCCCAGTGAGCTGTTGCAAGCAGGAAGATATTCAAGAATACTTTCATGCAAACTGAAGCCCAGAGCAACTGCCCCCCTATATCTGTGCTTGTGATCCTTATGTCCTAGTTTTATCTACCTCCAATTTATTTGTGCAGACCTTTAAGCCAAATTGGACTTGACTACACACCTTAGAGTTCACACAAATCAACATAAGGTGGTAGAGCTGATTGATATAACAGATCTCTGAGACTGACAATCTTGTGCCTTTGCCCTAAAGCTTCTGAAATCATAACTATAACACATATTTTTAGGCATGAACAGAGAGGGAGAAAGGGTGGCACAGTGGAGGAGGGACACGATTGATTTTAGACCCCCGACACACTACAGTCATACTATCAAGAAACTTGGTAAAATAAAAATGCTGCCTATATCAGTGGCATTACTGGGGGGTGAGGAGGCAATAGGGGCAATGGCCTCAGGTGCCATCTGGTGCTTCTGCTTTGCCCCAGGTGTTGGCCCCAGTTTCTGGCCTTGACCAGCCCCAGTGGTATTTGTGATTGAGAGCCTGCTTATAGATGTGATGCTTGCTTTGACTAGAAGACAGAGGGAGAGTTCTAGACCCAGTCAGTTAAGTCTGACACTACATCAACCAGGTTTATCTTAAACCAGTTTCAGCCATTTTGAGAGTGGTTTATGTGCACTGAACTTCTGTTCTGTTACAGATTTAAAGCAGTTTTGGATCACTTAAACTGGTTTATATGTAACTGCTGTCCCTTGCCTGTGAGTGTGGGATGGTGTGCAAGTAAGAAGTGTAAGTGGGTTCGTTGAGTTGCTGCATATGTGAGGGCAGTTGTGAGAGAACTGTGTGATCTGTATGGTACGTTTCTGACTCCTGGTTATTAGGGTAAGATGACTGGTGTGCTGATCAGTTAAGTGCTACTCTGAGGAGAGAGTATTACAGCACTGCTCTGAGGAGGGAGCACTAGTGCTTGACAGGACCTTGGCCCAGGTGACCCCATCATCTCTGTTATGGTAAAGTATTACCCACCCCTTTGGTACTCAGGGTGCTCAGTACCCCGAGGGGAATTGCACCGAGAGCTTCACTAAGCTGAGTTTCTGTGGAGCCACCAAGTTATCAGAGATCCTACTTTGCTCTCTTTTTGTTGTTCCTCTGGTTATCCCTCACGTATTTGCATATATGGTTGTCTGCTATTGTCCATATATATTTCATTATCCTACTGTTTGCCTCATCTGTTTAACAATTTGCTTTGAAACTTACCATTGAGTCTGTGGTTCTTATATGTAATTTTCAGACACTTGGTGGGGTTGGGCAGTAGACCAATACCTAGTGGAAAACTCTGCAAGTCTCCAACACCACACTTATTTGGAATTCAGCTTCGAAGACTAACAACCATCACTACTACCACCATTTGATCCCAAATTCTAATTAGTGGAGATAATTATATTGTGCAAGAGATTTGCAGCTCTTCACCAGGCACCCAGCCACATTCCTACACTACCAGCCTATATGTATAAACTTGACAATAATTTAGCACAATGCTATACCTATTTTTTTAAAAAAACTATTATAGCTAGCTGCATGCTAATATTTAATATCATCCCCAAAATACAGGGTAAGCTCTCTGGCTTTTGCAAAGTATAATAGCTCTACTGACTTAAACAACTGGCTGATAAGGTTTTAATTATGTTGAATCCTAACTTTTCTCATTTACTATGAAACACTGTACTTCAGCTATACTTTCTTATTCTATGCAGGCAATTCATTTACATGAAAAAAGTCGTAGAACAGAGGATGCATAACTAATATGCTACCTTTTTGCCACTGTGCCCACAGTACATTAATTTCATTTAAAATGCACTGACCATACAGAATAAATTGATTTCACTTTATATGGTGTTGACAGCCATGTTTATTGTGCAGTGAAATGTAGTGTAGTTTCGAGCTGACAATATCCATCAACATAGGGCAATATGCTGACTGCTGGGCCAGATGAAGACATACATTACCCTGAGAGCAAAACACTCATTCAGAAATGACAGTGTCTTCTCTTGAGGATCACTATGGTAATTTATGATGCCTCCAATACCATTACTTTACAACTGATACCGATTTGGCAATTTATGTACTTACATGTGTGCACATAAAAGACGACAGGTTTGTGGCAAATGTAAAATGCAAAAAAAAAAAATAATAATATTATTCAAAGTTAACTACTGTGCCATAGGTATGCAACCATTTACAGGTGGTTACTGCTGCCATGTGCTCTCTTTCTCTCTCTCTCGCAATAGGGAACAGCATTTTTTGCTGAGTGCAGATCTGCATATAGAACCAATTCAAGTTGATTAGAGTCTATGGAGCCTTTTCAAAGGTTTCAATGATCTTTGGATCTGAACTTTCATATACATCATTATCTCAAATACAACACATTTATTTTTAAATGATAAGACTTTTAACTAGGGTTTCCTACATTACAGTGTTTCCAAATGTATGATTACTCTATCCTTAAAAATGGCAAAATTTGCAACAAATATTTTTCACAGCACATTATTCAAGCATTTATGGTGCTGTTGGCAAATAAAAAATGGAATATTTTTTTTTCTATATAAAATTGCAAAAATATTCAACAAATTATTTAACAAGCTGTATTACTGGTAAGAAAAGAGGAGGAGGACAGCCCAATCCAGCTGTTTAATATTATTATTTTGCACTTTTTATCTTCTGAAATATGTTTCTTCATTGCAGCTAGTGAGTTTATCTCCAGGTCTTTCTGCTAAGATTTTGGTTTAGTCCTTCAGCTGTGATGTCAGACAAATAGAGCTTTGGCTGATATCAGGACTATAAATTAGATCTATTTGGAGAGATTAGAATCTGGAGTAGGAAGATTAAAAAAACCCAGAATACCATCAATTTATTTTACTTTAATATTTTTTGATAGAAAACAATCCTTAATTGGAGTAATAAATTACATTGCAAGAAGACCACAAAGCTCGAGTTGCATCTGCTCTGAGCAAGTCTACACTTGAGGGATTTGAGAAGGCAGCCAAAAAAATAGTTGAGCTTTTCAGTGCTCAGTCTCTGAGAGAATATTTGCTACTTGGCCCAAGGGCTGTCACAAAAGAATGTGTGCAAAATGAGTTTCTGCAAATAATTAAAAATCACACCACCCGTCCTACCTGTCTCCTAACTCCAAGAGTATGTTCAACACAGAACGTGCTTGTTTTCAACAGACATTGTAATAGAGAACAAATGTCATAATAGCCATTTAGCTTCAAACGAAGGTCCTCATGATATAAAACACAGAGATGTACACTTTTGAAACCCACAAGAATAAGACTTTGTACTGCAAGTCAGTGCTAGGACACTTCAACCTGTCAACCACCTATCAAATAATGATTTTGCTCTTTTTAAAAAATGAAATCTTCATATTTTCCCAAGGAGGAAGCAACCATGACCACCTGAAACCTGAGATCCTGCTCCTGCCTTTTTTTCAAGGTAATTTGCATCATCACAGATCCTCACAGATGGTGAGAGGCTCCATACCAGCTATGAACTGACTGCCCAGAAAAGTTTTCCATCTATTGACTTCTCTGTGAAATCCTATGAAATATGAACTTTCATTTCTACCCAGGAGAACTTTTACAATCTTTTCTCCAATG